CTGCCGTCTTTTCAAACAACAGACTCAGAAAACTGCGTCGATTTTTTAAGGAAAAAAGGTAGCAAACTGAGAAAGTCCATCTCAACTTGGGACCTTAAACAGTATTAAAAAAGATACCACCCAGCTAGTAAATTAAAAGAGCTTCTCAGATTTTCTTAATCGCACACTGGGAAGAACAACTAAAAAGCAGCGAGCAAGCGGAATGGGAGGGATGTCCCGAAAGAAACAGAGGAAGATGAATAAGCTCGCGATGTCTGTAAGAGTGTAAGTGTATAACGGTTGAGACCCGAATCCTTCTCTGTCTAGCATTCTAATGCATATGTCTGCACCTGTGAAAAATATTTTTAAAGAGGAAATCAAAATAATCATGTTAGTTCAAAAAGAAGATTCTTTTCCCTTAACAAACCATTTTTAACTTTGATTTTATTTCAAGAAGATCAACCTTCTCATTAATTCTACCTCGGCCAGGTTCTCCTCAGGTGAGCTGTTGGGTGCAGTGAGGTTAGACGCAGCAGCTGTGTTGTACCGGAAGATCCTAAGTTTGCCCTCCTAAGAAAGTGTTTAAGTAATCTCAGTAGATGTCTGATTTAAGCGCGATAAGAGTCGCATTATGAATTTGGATCATTTACCTTTGTTCCATATACAAGACCTCCACCAGGAGAAGGATGAAAGCAAGCAACATTAACTTCATCCTCTGAGCTTGGAAGCACCCTCACCAGTTCCATATCTGAAACTCTGTAAATCTGATGGAAGAGAGAGAAAAAAAGGTGAAAACTCTGTATGCCATTTCAAACAGTGACTAATATAGGATCGGTAAAAAGTTTGTTTTTGTTGGCCTAGAGTTTCATAGCTACTGTAACATAGACGTTACCTCCAAGACTGTGAAAAAATGCGATGTAGTTTCTCCATCACTCACAATGCTCTTCAAAAGAGAACCATGACGCCGACCATATGCAAGCAATATGTGCTCGGAGGTTGGTGAGAACTGCACGGAATTTTTTCATTATAAAGCACTCCATCACAATAATACAAATCAGTGATGATTAGTTGTGAGAATCTCCTGGAAGTATTCCTAAAGGTAACTAACCTGGATAGAGGTCAAGCAATGTGCAGCCCTAATTGCCCGTGACACAAGTACTGAACCAAATCTGTAGACATGCATAAGACACTCCAGTCAGTTTTCTGTTACATGCCATGTGAAAAGTTGAGAAATGTAATAATTGACATGAGGAAAACAAAATGGAAATAGCACTTACGTTTCCTTTTCAAGAGAATACACACGAAGTTCATACATGACTTGATGTGCTGTGACAGGATGTCGAGTTGGGGAAGTTGCAAGCCCTGAATCTTGTTGGACCAATGTCTGCAAACCAGGATCTGTCTCAGCATGAGGAATAACACATGCAACACATGCTGCTAAATATCTCCCACATGGCGAGAAATGAGCTCCCATTTCACTGCAGCGATTAACACATAATGTATTTCCATCAACAAAAGTGAAATATCATTCAGTAGCATCAAGATCATCCAAGTGTAACACAACAGTATTAAGAAAATTTACCTGCAGAGAACAGCATGATGTATGGTTATTCGACATTTGTCAGACTTCAGTATTGCACATGGGTCTTTGATGTCATGTGACCACACTCTCAGTTTGACAGTACAAGGCAACTCTGCCGCAGCAATCGAAGTAGCCAGTTCAGACGGAATTCTGTTCACCACAGGTTGAGCTTCAGTTCCTTCATGTTGAGTATTACGAGAGGAAACACCTTCTGCTAAACCAGATCCTGCAAAGTGGGACGGTGGTATTCGGTCCCGGGAGCTGCCTCTTGCCGAAACCCCATATAAGTTAACACCACCAGGAATTTCTAATGACGCTACTGCAGCCTCCAGACTGGCTGTGGATGACTGGGATGCTGAAGAAGAGCCTGTATAAGGATTTGAGTTGACATGACCACTAGGAAGTACCACTGAATTAGCACCAGCTTGGCTTTGGGCCATCAACCACCCTTGTAGAAAAGGCAATTCCCAGGAAACTCTGTCTCTAAAGTGAAACAATTGCTGAAGTTGTCCAAACTCAAGTAAATCTGGTTGACTTGCAACTTGACTGGGGACTCTATTTCTTCCAACAGGAGCTTCATCTACATCCATGGCATCAACTGCAGTCGTAGAAGTTCTAACTCCAGCTTGGGCAGCAAATGTGCTGCTAGCAGAGTTTTCAGGGACATGATAAGAGCCAGAAAGAGCACCAGACATAGCCAAGGGAAGAGGGGGAGGAGGAGATATTGTTCTGCTGCCGTGTTCAACAGAACTTTGATTACTCTGAAACCTTGATTGTGCACTCCTTGGACCAGTAGTGCCAGTAGAATATTGGATTCTTGGATCATCAGCAGAATATGAAGGCAAGAGTAAGTATGGTAATGGCACAAGTGGCAGTTCTGCTGCCAAACTGGTGTGACTGCCACTCTGAGTGTTGGTGAAGAAAATAGCAGGGGCCGGATATCGCAAATAACCCAGAGATGTTGCTCTTGTCATTGCAGAATCTGATGAATCATTGTCAGTCACCTGCCATTTGTAGTCAATAGAGTAAGCCCACAAAGTGGCAGAACAATAACCCAATCCTCAAAATGTAGCTTACCTCTGCAGTCAAGAGAAGAGGAACCCCATGTGGATGAAAGTGTACAGCTCTCAGGGAACGCCTTGTCTTCAACACAATTGCTGGTGACGAGTCCTCCCCACTCTTATTATAATGCCATATGTGCAACTTTAAGAAAAAGAAAGCAAAGCATAATCAAACTCATAGACCTTTAGATTCGATATATTATTCTGGAAGATAAGCCGCCTGCAACTAGCTGGGTCGTTACGTGACAAATTTAAAAGGCAATAAGATACCTTATGACCAGATGCAACAGCAAGTAATTCACCATCAGCGTGGAAAGCAATAGAAGCAATTGGTCGATCTGTTTAAGGAGAGGAAGAGGATGGAGGTTAATAAGATTAAAAAGCAAAAGAGGAAAAAGAATAAAATACTGTAATGCCTAGTACTTACAGAAATCATGAGATCTAATACACTCCGAAGTTTTTGCATTCCATAAGCGCACCTCATGATCTAAACTTCCACTAGCAACTATTTCTGAGTGGCGCGGGTGAAATCTGACCTGTAAAGAACTCAATAACATTAATTAAAGCCGTGGGCATAACACATAGCTAATTATCTTATTCAAGCAAACCAAAATAAACTTAGTTCATTGCAAGTGGTGCTAACATGCTACACCAAAGCAAACATATAACAAAGTTGACACCCATCATCAACCAGCAAAACGAATGGCAGAGGTAGCCACCAAATTTCATTTCACAAGATGAGATTAGGTAATCTAGAGACAGTAATGGTCAAGTTAAAAGCTACATAGTAACCATGGGAAGTCATAGAGTCAATGAAGTTCTCTTACTCACCACCCAGGGTGTCCTCCGATGGCCGGTCAAAACTTTTAAGCACTTTCCTGTCTCGCAATCAATAATCTTTACAGTGTGGTCACCACTACAAGATGCAAAACCCAAGTTAATCTCACTAGAAAACGCCAAAGATTAAACTACAACAATTATGAGTCATAATTCTTACTGTGTAGAAGCAAGAGTTTTTCCATCGGAACTAAAAGCTGCGGCAATAGTTGACCTTGGAGGAGGCACAAGAGGACAATATATAGCAGATAAATGCTGCAATGACTCTGCCTCAACCCTACATATAAGGAACATAGTTTACATTCACACGCCCAAAAGGGAATGAGGATCTTTACATGAACTCATCTTAAAGGAAGATACTTCATTATTTTTATAACAAAGGAAGCTTGAAGGGACAAAGAAGTGATGAAAGCAAGGTACCATGAAATAAGATTATGTCCCAGCTCTCTCACTGGTTCATTACTGGTTCCACAAGACGAATCAGCATCCCATGGGGTACCCCACCGTTTCCTTGGCACAAACTTTGTTTTTGGTGAAATTTCCCTCTGAACCAGCAACTTGAAGACGCTCGTACACCTGAACAATCATACTCGATCCAGATTAAGATCAGCATCTGACAGAAATAGTCATCCAGTTTCGCAAAACATGATACTTAGGCTGGCTGCAAGTAAGAACTCAAGATTCACTTCCAAGCAATACTAACCGCAAATTCCCCAATAGCTGTGCTCTAACAACATGATTAGGGTTCCAAAACTAAATAGTAAATGAGATCTATCACTTGATACAGAAACCACCATCCGAATTTTCAACGATCTCCTAAACAAGCCCTCTAAATTACTTGATCTAACCCTGGATCTCCTAACCATGGAAAAAACCGTTCCAAGTTTCTATAATTCAGAGAAGGTTCTACTACAATTCATAATTCGAACTCAGTCAATAAGCAAGTTCTGACCTATGGCGGTTGAAATTAGCCACTGGTTTCGGTGGAGAAGGTTGATCGTGCGACCAGATAGATTCCGTCATCTCGAAAGCCAGAATTCATATCAATTCCCCAGTTGAAAGCGAATCCATAGATGCGACCAAAACAAGGACGAAACCCTAATTAAGCGATCTCCGTGGATAACAAGGCCAAATCGCCGATCTAATCTGCCCCGCCGGCTAAGATGGGTCGATTTTTCGTCGGGCCTATTTCCGATGAAAGAGCGAGGAAGAAACCTAAAAGGAAAAACAAGAAGCCATGGCTGAGGAAGCTCTGCTAAATTATTAAAAGGATCTCCTTTTTTTCTTTCTAATTGAAAATGCACCCAGTTCTTGATTATCTAAAACAATCTTTAGAATTTTAAACGTTACCCTTACATTTGCTAATATTGCGAAATTATACCCTAATATTACCCAGAGACATGTATAACCCAATTTGTAATTCTGTTATTTTATCATTATTTTTAATCCTCGACTAAACAGTCATCTTAAATGGATAAAAGATCAAATTAAGATAACTATATGAAAAAATGATTGGCAATATAAGTTTTTTAACTATATAAACGTCAATCGCGTTGATTGTAATAATACGATTACTTCGTATAATAATTCGACTATCTTATCTTTACTACACAAGATTTTGTAATTTGGATGACCCATCAAGAATACTGGAGAGGAAGGACTGTTGAGTCGCAAATCATAAACCGTTGGCAAATTCTAAAATATAAGAAATCTAGAAGGATCTTGAATTATGTTAATTTTTTTAATTTCACATTATAAGTTCTTCACGCGGGACAAAAAAAGGAAAAACTACAAGCAGTTGGCAACTTTTGCAATTAACACAGCAAAGCAAATCCTAATCATTAACATATACGAAACACATGTTTACCTAACCCAAAACAAATACACTGAACCAAGAAGCGTACCAAAAAACCAAAGTCACTAATAAGTAGTACTAATTACCATAAAATACAACCCTCGACATGAGTAATTTTTTTAAGAATCTAAAGCAAGCTATCGGCTCTCGACGGCAATCGCCTAAAGAAGCTAAGCCCTCTCGACGGCAACTTCCTCCTAAACCGAGGTGGTCTCAGATAATACAAACCGGAAACAGCTACGGTTAACTTAACCGGCACGACGTAAAACCCAACCGCCGCAATTAAACAGAACACCAAGAAGAGAAACGTCGCACGCGGGTCACGCCAACTAAGCAACGCTTGTACTCTTTCTCCTTGACTCGCAATGTCACCAACCACCATCTGAACCCTCCCGGCTATGCTCCTAACCCGATCGTACCTATTTCTCACAACCTCGAATCCTCTGCTCGTCGGAGATGTGTCAAACTCTTCGTCGAGCTCGTCGGGGAAAACGGTCTCTGCGTGCGAGATACGGGCGTCCATGTGTGGTGGAAGTCTAKGCCGCCGCCTGAAACGCCAAACGCCAACCGCAGCCGCGTAAACAAATAATGACGATAATATAAGCTCAGGATACAAAACCATAAACAAGAACACGACAACGAAAACCGTTGAGCAAACCGGTCTAGTCCAACTTCTCATTAGTTCGACCAATTTCGCAACCGCGACTAAACCGGAAATCACGTTTACGAGTCTGAAAAAATTAGCTTTGCTCCTTCTCATACTCCAAACATGGAAATCGTGATCGAGCATGTACTCCACAACCTCACGACCCAAAGGAGGCTCAGCTCTACTCAGCCTCGCGGAAACCGCATTTAGCGTCTGATACCGTAAACGCTCAATCATATGAACACCTAAAGGCTGAGTATAATGCATTTTAGGAAGCAGCGGTAATGTGTACATCTGAAGCATATTAACAGCATTACTGCACGAAAACCTAACCGCTAAATGAAGCTCACCGGTTTTCTTCACTCCCGTGGGGTGCAACACAATCAATGGATACGAATGCGTGTAAACACGTTCTGTCTCCAGCGTAGACAGCCTAATCCTGACTTTCCCAATCCGCGCATCGCGTGAGTTATTGTTATTTCCATCGACACGAGCGTTGTCGAACACACCAACGGTCACAACCGTGCACGGGTCGTGAACTTCCCAAGTATACTGCTCGTTCCACTTCGGACAAAGAGTGTCCACAACAGTTCTTGTTCTGACCCATTTAGGCCCGTACTTAGCCACGCAGTACGAGTCCGTTGTACCGCTGCATTTCCCGTCCCTAACCTTCATCGGAATCAGACCCGTCGCACCGAGAATCCCAATCTCTAAAAGCCCAACTTGCGGTTTCCATAGCTCCTTCGCCGTCGGTCTAACATCGCTGCTATACATTGTTGCCTCATCCAAAACATGGTAGCCACCGTCTAGTGACAATCTAAGATGAATCCTTGGACCAAACCGACTGTTATTGTTGTTGTTACCGTTATCTAAGGTAAACCATCTCGAACCAACCGGATTATCTCCTGTCCTTCTCTCAACAGATGAAACCGGAATCTGAACTCTTCCAACACCAACGTCGTTTTGTCCTCCCATTGGACCACCACCCAAACGTTCCTCCACAGTAGCTGTAATGTAATCCTCAAATGGCTCTGCAACCACAAACATCAAATCCTCGTTCCAATACGGATTCGAAAAGCTCCGCGTAGGGTTTGGAGGCGAGATAGCAGTCCGCAGAATCTGATTCCCGACTTGTAGCTTTGCGGAAATCTCAGGGAACCTCATGAGACCTGATCCTTTGTCCATAATTGCAACGTCTTGAGCCTCAATCACTGAAACCCTAAGGTACCATAGCTTAGGAGACAAGTAAACCTTCGATTTGATCGATGAGAGCCCCTCAATGTGTACATTTCCAGCCTTTGAATGCCATGCCTCAGCGAAAGCTTCATCAGCTTGAGTCCCGAACCACACAGAAACCATAAGCTCTCCGCCGCCTTTACCGCCGTTTCTACTCTCTATTTTGTACCACTGTGGAGCCAACGGACTATCAGGAGGAACACGTGTTGGGATTTCGCTTAGATCGAACCAGACCCGACCTGAATATTCGTCTTTGTTACCTTCTTTCACAAATAACTCAACAACAGAAGATTGAATGGTTTCTTTAGAAAAGGCAAAAACTTGATTCCACTCAAGATTATTCGAATTCGGGTTCACCTTTTTAGTAACTCCCCTGTAATTACCCAGTTTCACTTCCGACACGACTTCGCCGGATACAGACAAGTCCTTAGCTTTCACGATTCTTACATAAAGATACTGCATTTGCTCAACTAGATCGTAAGTGGAACTTGTCTTGTCCTTGTGACTACCCAAACCACCAAAACCACTACCACTTCCTCCGAGACGAGGCTTTGTCTCCTTAAGTGAAAACTCACCAGGCCCGTTTGAGTAAAGAACGGGTGGTCCGGGCATTGGACCGGGAAGAGCGGTTATGATAGGCTTTATCACACCTTGGTTTGGATAAAACGGTAGCATCATCCTCTGTCCTTGACCGTTCTGTTGCTGATTTCCTCTGTTGTGATTGTGAAGAGCTAT